TTTCGAGTTTCTCCTTTGTGTTTATGTTTCCTTATTTTTCTTTTATTTCAGAGTAATTGAAAACGTTTTTCGTTGATGATTCAGCATTCAAATATATGCATGAAGCATAAATCGTATGATTGATAAGGAAGTAAAGCAAGGGTTCCTAAAATATGCACATGTGGATTAAAATTGATGCATTTAGAATAGCTGACTTATGAATTTGTAACATCGTTCTCCATATTTGACTTTTTTCTTTCTTTCACACGATAAAAGAGCGCAATCAAGGAAAACATGGAGAAATGAAGAGATCAATATAATGATTTTTTTTCTGATCGATTGTTTGGAGTGGTTTCCTTTATACCTGAATCGTAATCCCCCAGTAGAATCAACTACAACAACAGCATTCACAGCACGGTCAGCAACGAATATATCACCATTACTATACGCAAAGTTACCATCGCAATTTATGATATAAATCACGTTCCTAGAACTCTCAGTTCTCAGTATTTGATAACTAACATCAGTAGCAAATATTAAGGGGGCCGACTATAGTTTTATTTTGTGAAAACTACAATAGCAAAAATGTTCATTTTCATACCATATATAACTTACATTAAATTCAGTGCACATGCAAAGTTTGGGGGAAATCTACCGGCCAGGTATTTTTGAGGGACCGTCTCAAAATATATGTACATTTACTATAGAATGATCATGATATAGGAATATGCCAATTTTTAGCAATTTAAAGCAAATTATACAAATACTACAATAGACAATTTGTTCAAACTTTTAATATTTGATGAGTAATACTATATTATACAATATATGTAATAATAACAAAATTCTACCGTCTTGTTACCAGAGGGAGCATCTCAAAATGCAAAAAATTAGCAAATTTTACTATATTTTCAGAGTATTACAAAATATGACGTACACAATGAATTCACATGAAAACATAATAAAAATATTGGAGATATTCTCAAATTTCTATGTTTTAAATTTCAAGAGCGTATGTTTATTACATTTTCTTTAATAATATTTTTATTACACCTTTCTTTAAGAGCTACAGATTATCATAACGTCAAAAAACACACTGTAACGACGTCAACCTACCTATCAATTGCAAAATCGGTTAAAAAATCAGTTATATCAAATTGTAATTACGTTTTTATACCTATAATTTCTTAATTATGTTCAATTTTAATAATTAAGAGAAAAAAGTTGCATTAAAACAGTAAAATACGCTTCATTTTACAATGATGCGCGAAATATTGCGCAATGGAAACTATAGTCGGCCCCCTTAAATGGTATAAATAGTGCCTTCCCCCTCTGACTAGAGGGATGAACCTAATATTCCAAACCGTAAAGACCCGGATGTATCTGCCACAATGACGGCATTGCAACCAAAGGCAGCCATACAAATATCGCCGTTGCAACTTTCAGTGAGAATAAGCAAACCTCTCATTTTATTACTAAACAAAGGACTGTCATACTGAATCTCACAATCTGTGTTTTCCCTGTTTATCTTACAACTCGTACATACCTGTCACTAGATCATTAAATTAACCCCAGTATGTTTATACACAGTAAACATACTTTAAACAGACAAAATAAACAAAATTCACCGTAGTTCTTGTCTTTTTACGACATTCTTAAAATTTATAGACATGCAGCCTTACCATGTTAATTATTCAAAGCATAGTAACACATAATATATGTTGTTAAAAATGAAAATAGTCTGAAATCAAAAAATGATTGATTCTATTGTTTAACGTCCCCCTGGAGAATTTTTCACTCATATGGAGACGTCACCGTATGCAGGTGAAGGCCTTCAAATTTTGACCTTTACTTGGCAGTAAGGACCATTGAGCAGTGAGGGATTTTTATCGTGCCACGGTGCCTTGGTTTTTAAGGTCTCATCCGAAGGACCCACAACTTTCACTTCAAAGTGCTGAGCGCATGACGAAGGAACAGTTGCTACCCATTTTAACGACTAGGTCGGTTGCGCCCGAGATGCGAACTCATGACCTCCCGATCACGGAGCAAGCGCTCTACCGACTGAGCTACCGTGAACGGTCAAAAAATGAAAATACATACACATATATAAAACAACCCATTTTCCATAAAATATAAAATGTCGTACATCAAATACACCAAAGAAATTTGCTCGAGCAATTTTTACCAATTGTAAAACTTAGAAATGTTTTGTCTCTCAATTTTTTTTTTCATATTTTTTTGTCAGATTAATTCGCTTTTTTTGATACAATAATTCAAAAACAATTCTACAATAGTAAAAAAAAAAAGAAAATGACTGTTGGATATCTTATTAATACTAGATCCATTAAATTTGGCCAAAAAAATATCTAGAATTGTCAAAGAACTACAACTCTTTAAGTCATAAATTAACATTTTATCAAGATAAACTTAAAAACATACGTAAATAACATGACTTGTACATACTAATTTAAAACTGGTATTCAAAATCTGACAACATGTTAGAGAGTATATCATTAATTAAAGAACAATATAAATTCTTGATGAAACAAGGTAAAAAATTTAAAAAAAATAAAGTTACACATAAGGAAAGTTATTGATTTATTTGAAATTTACTTTCCGGAAAGCAGGCTACTTCTTAAACAATCCAAAAGAAATAAACAGTCTGTAGATATTTTTTTTATCGCAATGTGATAAAAAAATAAGTAGGAGAATTCAATTGCGGGTTTCTTTTGTTTGGAATAACGGTGGTGGTCAGACTTTGATTTTAATATTTTTAAAAACACAGATACATGTAGTTGAAAGTTTATAATTTAGCCGAAGAAGATTACACCAGTGTTGTTTGATGAAGGAAATGCAAACAAAAGTATATTTAATTTCGTATAATTGTTGGTAACTACATGTATACATACTGTATATGCGTGTTCATAATTTAGCGCTGTTATTTAGTATTGAGTTGTTAGTGTTTTCATGGATTAGCACTTCATACTATGACGTAATCATTTCTTACAGGACTTCTTAAATTAGCACATCATTGGTCCAAACAAAGTCGCTTAAATATGAAGCCAGCATTTTTATGTACACTAAGGAAGGTTGTTCGTAAATCAATGATAATAGTTCTTTATCATATAATAATCATACAAAATTTATAATTTTTTGGGATAATTAGGAAAAGTCCGATGAAATAATAAGCATGCATATGTCTATCAACATGTAGCTGTTCTCGCTACGTCTAATTTTACGTTAGCCGAGGATGGTTTTGTATGTGAAATAATTGGGAAGTATTTACTTTCCTTTCTTTGTCATTATTTAAACTATAAAGAAATCCAGCTTTTCTCTTAAACGATTCTTTAAGAACTGTGTCTTTACTATACACTTGTGTAATTATTTTTAGAAATCATATATACATAATAAATTAGTATCATACGGTTCCGATTTATGCAACGTGGGTCAACATTCTTAAATTCCGTTATCAGAAAAAAAATAATGGTTGTACGGGGCCTTTGATTTTTCTTTTGTTGAATTATACATGTTATAGGTTAGAAAAAAGGACATTGTATATACATATGAGATAGCAAAGCCATCGAGATCTTTTATCCGTTGTTTTCGATTCATCGGGTTGGTCAGTCTGGAAAAGTTCTAGTTTGCGCTACACAAAATGCTTGGTTTCTCCCTGCTCTTCCTTGGCGTAGAAATTCATTTTGTCGTCGTAATCAGATTTCTTTGCTGCTTTAAATTGCCTCCATATTCCTGATAGGAACTATACTAGACTTGCACAACATGAAGTCAAAAAAATTGAAATGTTTTTGCTCTTATTATGGGTCTACGGGGGTGGGGTGGGGTGGTGATGGTGTTGCATTTTTTTTTCAATATCCGATTTCGTGACTGCAACGTTTTTATTCTAATCTAAGGAGTAGTGTTGAAAATTGTATTTAAGAAAATATATATATTTTGTAAATATATAGAAAATTTTGGGCATGTGTAAACACGCCAAAAAATTAGTCAAACGACAGGCACATGCGGCAGTGAGAGGAACTTTAGAGTAAGTTGACCGGCTTAAAAAACCAAATTGTGCAATTGTTTTCTTTCATTCTTCGTGTGAATGTCATGATTATCATAGCGTACAGTATAGAAGGAGGTTTTATGTTAGTAAGGTGGCGATTTATGAGATGGCAGGACAAATAAACCGCCCATAACATGACACTGTTTTGCATTAACTTAATCGTCACAGTTGATTGAAAACCATTCCAGGCCTTCTCTGACAACGGGTAACAAGCTTTATTAGGGAAAATTTACAAGAAACTGCTAAGTTACCCGTTGTTGTCATCTTCATTCAATGGGCAATTCAAAAACCAGACCCCACGGAACTTCCGTAAACTGTGCCAAAATTGAAAAAAAATTCATATCGTCTCTAAATATAAAAAAAACAATATGTATTCCTCATGTGAATCAAATGGTGCAACAAGATTCGTTGCGAAACTCGACAAATTGCAGGTGTTTTGGGCTTTTGAGCGTTTTCCCTACGTGACGTCATACAATTTACGGCTGAGTAATTATGAACGCTGATTTTGGTGCATAGTAACTAAATTTTTCATCTTTTCAATTTTCGTAATTTTCGGTCATGCGGTCAAAAAGTTTTCGAAAATTTTGCTTCCCTGCGTTTCTTTTTCCTATCAATATATTATACATTTATGATGATAATTACATGTATACGCAACAAGCATTACATATCACTTTCAGCAATCTGCATAAGCACAAATTAAACTTTTAAATTCATGTTCATATTAACATAGACAATCTATTACTGGCTGTAGTAGTAAAAATGTCTGAATTTCTGCATGATTCTTCATTCATGACTTTATTTAATATATTTTTTCGAACAACCTAGTAAAGCTGTTTACAATCATAGGAAACTTAAAAATGCATAATTATCAGTGTTATGTGAGTTTTTTTTTCGTAATCACTCACACATGACATTGTTCTGGATAAAGCCATTTACTTTTCCTAACAACATCATAACGTCATCACTCTAGATATTTGATAAATTGAATTTTTCCAGTATCTTTGTCTCCAATAACAAGATTGCAATCAGTGTCAATACTGAGTCCACCATCACATGGACACACAATATAACGGACAAAGTTACCATCACTGTCTATAATGTGGACAATGTTGTTACTTTTGTCACTTATCAATATTTGAGTAGAGACATCAGCAGCAATATGAGAGGGTGAAAATTCTGTGTACTTTGATTGTTTGGAAAGATTGCCTGTGTACTTAAATCTTAATCTCCCAAAGGAATCCACAACAACAACCATCTTTCCATAACAGTCAGCAGCACATATATCTCCATTACCATTTTCTGTCAGGAGAATTACAGTTTTCACGACACCAGTAGAAAACAGAGGTTGTCCTTCGCTGTCGTACTGGATCTTTTGTTTCTCTGTCATCCCTGAGTATCTCACCACTCTACTCTGATTCGTATCCATAGAGCGCATACTGACCAGTAAATCTCCTTTGCCTGAATACCAAAGACCAACAGGAAACCAGTCATGTATACTTATTAATATCTTCACTATTCCATCATTGTATTGGTATATGTCTGTACTTTTATAATGCATCGTTGAAAACAGTGGATCCTGTTGTGAATTAATGGTTAATGCCCAGACATTATCATTTGTTTTAATTGTTTTTAAAATTGACCCAGTTCTGTCTATTTGTTTAATTGTGCTGTCACCTCCACTGATCAAGATACTTTCACTCCCCACGCATTGGACTCGCCATAATCTACGCCAACCTCCAAAAGAACTTTGTATTGTTCTAAATATCGCAGGGTCGTCCATCATTTTCAGCATTCCAGGCTTCTTCACCAAGTTCTGTTCAGTCTGAAGAAAACCGAACATGGCAGCAATCTGGTCTTTTTTAATAATACCAGGTAGCAACTTTGGACAAGACAAACTTGGTAATTCTGGTCCTTTTCGGAAATCCCTATTTCTTGATTGATAGTGTATTATGGCGGTTGCATCATTACTTCTAATGATATATTTATTTTCTTTTACAATTTGGTTGACTTCTTTTTCAGCCAGAGATTGGTTTTCTTTGTACTTACTTATAGCTTCTTTTTTCTGCACAACTACTTCATCTGTAAGTTGAATGCTTATTTCATGTACGGCTTTCCATATTTCCTCTTCTTGTTCCTTTATGGCAGACACAACTTTATCAAACCCTGTTGTGACTTTACTCAGGTTTATGTTTCTATATTTTGGAACAGCTTTATTTTCAAGTTCTTCTGTATCATATATGATTTGCTTTTTATATTCTTGAAGAATATCATTGATATCGGTAAATTCATGCTTTTTGTGTGAACCTATTAGACACTGAATACATATTGGAATATTACAATCCTGACAGAATGTCTCACATCGGTTATTCTTGTGTATATGACAAAATGCTAGAGAAAAAGAATCTTGTTTTCTAGAAGTGTATCCAACAATTTCATGTTCCTTTGATTTATCTGCCATATGTTTTGGTATGCATGATAGGCAGAGGTCAACGTGACAAAGATTGCAGTGATGTTCAACAGGGTTTGGACTTAACTGGCAGCAAATAATATCTTGTCCCTGGGAGCTAGCCATATTTAGTGCAAACTAGGATAAGAATAAAACCATATTACCATATGTACCTTGTGATGAGGTATTCAACAAATTTCATCAATTTTATTTCCATTATAATGTTTATACTCGTGCATGCCTTTTCAATTATTGAAAGAAATTGTAAAACTGTAAGCAAGACAATTATTAAAACTTCAAGATAATTTTTTTAATACACTTGATACACGAAGTATGAAAATAAAATTGACTGCCGTTATGAGAAAAGAGCCCTTATCTTTGACATCACAATGCTCAGAAAACGACATCAAAGCAAGAGTATTGTGAACTTGAAAGTCCTGTAATTTTTTTAGACTGCGTTGTAATGAACAAAAGTAGAATTGGCTTTCAACGTATAAAGAATTACAAAATTTTATATTATATTTGTATTTGTTGTTTTTTAATAGAAAACATTATAATATTATTACTTTTTACTTGGTAAATTGAATAATAATTCTGTTTAAGTATTAAACTTGATGTTGATATACGCGATACGCACATCGCTAGGAACAGCGAGTAAAACAATGTCTATGCCTGACTAAACTGAGTAAATTGCGTATTTGTTTTCTGAGCAATTTACAAATGCATGCTTAAATTTGATTATTGTTAAGAAGTCTTAATATTAATAAAAAGGGTAATTCCATACACATCTATATCTTTTCAGAAAGTGAGAGTAAAAATATGAGAGTGAGAAATCTATGTACATAATAGTATAATCATTCTTCTTATTTTCTCATTCGTTTCACTCCTCCGAAAATAAATATTTTCTTGACTAGTTTATTGGAAAAAAAAAATACAAAACAATATGCCGTAGGATTCAGTTTCGTTCGTTACAAATCGCATTTTTATTCAAGTGATACAATTCAAGTGCATAAATTTTACAAAATAAACAATGCAAGGACTGGGTGGGCAGGGAAAGCAAAAGACACAAAACAACCTGCGATTCTTTGTTACGAAACGTCGCTTTAATCGAGCATTCCCCGGTAAATGTATTTAAAGTGAGTACGAAAGCGCTCGTGCATGAAAAACCAGTTTCTCTAGATATGAAAATTCACAGAGAGTACCGAAGTAAAATCGTAAAGAAATAAATAGATGCGCTTCTTTTTTCTGAAAAATATATACATGAACCATAATTTAAAATGTCATATAGTCATTTTAATTTTAATTTATAGTTAATCATACTGATGTACCCCTATAGCCAACCCACAATGAACTGTCGATTTTAAAATGTGTGAAAAATTAAAGTGGGGAGATAATTAAGTAGAACAAGTGAAAAAAGTTTCATAATAAAAAGACAACGGGTTAAAGTTCAAGCAAACAATATCTCCTCTTTGATTGGATATAGATACTGGTAACTTGCGAGATAAATTTTACTTTTACAACAACAATAAATAATTCCACCCTAAATTAACAATAAGAGAATATGCTAAAAAAGGAAGACGGGGATGCCACGAAAATATGCAAGAAATAAATTTTGATTCATAACTAATTTTAAATTATCAAATAAGATTTATACATAAGATTTAAAAGAAGTTTTTGGAAAAAAAAATATTTCTGCTTCATTTTTTTTCAAATTGTTCGGATTAGTGGAATCCAACTTGAAACTGAACGGCAATATGTTTCGAAATAAAATATAGCTATCGTATAATAATATATAATGAATGACAATATTTATAAACCAGAAGAAAATTAAAAACGTTATAGAAAAAGCCAAAATATGTATGGATTTCTGGCTAATGTCAGATATGGCTATATCTTAAGAGAATTCGTCACTGATGGAACAAAAAGTACTAGTAACCTTTAGTTATGGGTGTTTAATTTCCAAAAGTTATGAAATCTTTAAAATCATTCTGAGTTTAAATCTTTGACGCTGAGTCTCACCTTTGATACATGTGTCTAAATATACCGCATTCCTCGACACTAATTTCTTAAAATTCCTTTGAAATCGAGATACTGAACTTTATATCATAATCTTCACATGGTTGAAAGGAAAACAAACAAACAAACAGAAATATTTCTGCTTTCAAAGAAAAATATTTACTGCTATAGTCACTCGCAAGTAGAATCGGGGGGAGGGGGGTATTTGAAAATTTAGGTTGCCACTCACTTTTTTTTTTACAGCATAACAATCAAATTAGTGAACTATAGCACAAAGCAATAAGGCAATGTGTTATATTTTTTTGGAAAACCTAATATGAGAAAAATCTAAATTTACCACTTTATCAAATTTGGATTTTAAGGTTAGACAACCTCTTTTTTCTTAGCTTGACAAGTTTTTAAGGTAGATGGATATTTTTCATTTTGTGATATTGAGAAAGTACTGTGCTTTGAAATAAAAACCAGGGAAAATGGTTTGCATAAATATTTTAAAATAAGAATGTAATATTTACGTTACATTCCATCACTTAACCACATCGCATCATAATAAATCCATAAACGTGTATTGAACGGAATATTTCATTGTTGGTTAAGAAATATCTCTAAAATCTGAAAAGCTTGGGTGTCAGAATAGCCGATGATACGGAGGAAAACAAATATATGACATGTTAAGACCCTAGAACCTTTTTTTAAAGTGGCCACATCGAAATCTAAAATGGCTGCCCATCTCAAGCTAAAGTTACTTCCTACAGACCATCCTTTACTGCGTAAATAATATTCATTCACTTTCAAATCGATTTTCTCAATATTAAAGAAAAAAAATATGAGAAATGTAGTAAACATGCAGACATATTTGTAACAGATTTTAATTGTGATTTACTTAAAAGACTAGTAAGAATTTTTTTTAAAAAATTCAATATAGGTACACTATATAAACCATTCATTAGACAATCCTTTGACATAATTATTTACCTCTTTATTATGTTTTACTCCATAAATAAGACAGACAAAAAATAATTGTATAACCTTTGGAATGTTAGTGCTTATACCATCGTCTTTAATCTTCCTCAAATAATTTGTTTTCCACGAATGGGTCTACTCTGCTCTGTTTTCTTTTTGCAAATATCAAAACAAAATGTTTGTTGTAAATGAGCATTTATTGTAATGCCAAAGAAACTAACCAAATATGTACTAAGATTACACATGACTTTAGTTGAATATATCCTTTCTTATGATATTAGTATACAAAAGGAAAAAATACAAAGATGACTAGAAGAATTTGCAAAAAAAAAAATGGGAGAACAAACACAACAAACAGTGATGGTATAAATTACTTTATGTTGCACATAAATACAATTTAAACCTTTTTAATAAAATACTCAAAAGATAATTAAAAAAAAAAAATATGCTTGCATTGAAAAGGCAACCATATATTTGTTTAATTCATGATTTTTTATAAGGCAATACACTTTTTTAAAAAAAACAAATTGATATATCTTGACATATCTGAATTTATCGGATTTTTTTCGGTGAAACAGAAAATAAATTCATCTTTTATTCTATTGTTGATTCTATTGTACGGAAGCTTTTTAGTGCCACATTCATTTTTTAAGTAAGTATTGATTGATTAATTGTATATTGTTTAACGTCCCTCTTGAGAATTTTTCGCTCATTTGGAGACGTCACCGATGCCGGTGAAGGGCTTCAAATTTAGACCTATATTCGGCACTCAGGACCATTGACATTGAGGGTTCTTTATCGTGCCAACGCCTACAGTGACACGGGACCTACGTTTTTTAAGGTTATATCCGAAAGACCCGTGCCTTTCACTTTTAGTGCCAAGCGCTTTGCGAAGGAACAGTCATTACGTATGTTTACGTCTTAGGTATGATCGGGCCTCCCGATCACGAAACGAACGCTCTACCACTAGGATACCGTGACCGGATTTTTAAGTAAGTAATTCCAACTTTAATCCTGGATTTTCCAACATTAATCATGCTTCAAAGTTCAAAGTTACTAATTCTAACACTATATCAGTCAGTTTGCTTGGCCTTTTTACAATGGTGATATCTTACATTCAAGGAAAACGTCAGAACCGTCGCCATTACGTTCGAAAACTGGGAAATCGCCGCCTCCAACCGGTGTCAGCATTATCGAGTTGATTTTAGATACTTGCAAACTGAATTAAATTTCAAAGTCAAAAATTATCAATACTACAATGTTTAAAGAAATTACCGATATAGTTTTTATGGTTCATTTATGAAAATAAATAATCCGGTGAAAAGGGTTTTATCACACTATCGAGATTTGTCTACATTTCGTACATTTTTAAATATTGCATGTCCTGTTACGAAATGTTGAGTGATTTTCTTTTCATCGATATTGCTGAGTACTAGATGCATTGTGCTGCTGATAAATTTTGATTTCTGTATAAAGTTCGGTTCACAAGTATCGAGAATCAACTCCAGTTGAAGACGGCGAAATTTCCAGTTTTCGTAATGGCATCGGTTCTGACGTTTTCCTGGCATGTAAAGTATCAAAATCATACAAAAAAAAGCCAGGAAAACGTCTGATTTTTTGACTAACTTTAAATTTGAAACTCCATCTTATATCTTGGTAATTTCATCTTTAAAGTTGGTAATTCCAACTATTATCTTGGCTTTTCTAACTTTAATCTTGGTTTTTCCAACTTTAAAGTTGGCAATTCCCACTTTAATTTTGGCAATTCCAACTTTAATCTTAGCTTTTCCAAATTTGAAGTTGTCAATTCCAACTTTTTTTAAAGAGCTTTCTTACCCCATTTTCTTTGTTTTTTCCTTTGTTTTAAGGGAACCAACTATTGTTTCATTGTGTGAAAACTACGAAAGCGAAAATCTTTTTTTATTATTATTATTTTTATACTATATATATAACTTACATTAACTTCAGTGTACATGCAAATTTTGGGGAAAATCTACCATCCAGGAGATTTGAGGGATCGTCTCAAAATACAGGTACAATAACTATAGAGTTTTATAGGAAAATTCTAATTTTTAGCACTTTAAAGCAAATTATACAAATACTACAATAGACATTTTGTTCAAACTATTATATTTTATGAGTTATACTAT